CTTTCCTGCAACATCAAGCGATTTAAGAGAGCCACACGTTTTCTCTGGTGTTGAATGCCCCAAGACCAGGTGCTGAAGAATGGCACAGCCACAAACCCTCCACATAATTCTTCTCCAAATTAGAACTGTAAAGCAGTGGAACAGAAGTTCGCTTTCAATCTCATGGCGCTCAACATTTTAACTGAGCAAATGACAGCCTTGATGACGGCTATGAGCGTGATGTTACCCATTCAGATGTGGAGCTGCAAAAAAGAGGGTGGAAGGAAGCCACAAAAACCCTAGAATGTTCAGTGCAAGCTATGTAGGTGCCAGTAGGTGGCAAGTCCTTTGCTTGACAGAGCTAAACTAAGCAGGATATATATATAAAAAATCCAATGGAATGGTTTCCTGCCTAAAAACATTTGTACCGTGCTAAAAATATGCTAATCTTTTTAAAAAGGCCAGGTGTTTAATTCTCCAGCTAGCTAATTTGGCTGCCTCTTTTAGCATCTGGTGGAGCCGAGCCACAGCAGAGCAGAACCCTGGGGGTGGCACAGTGGTTAGAAAGCAGTTATTTCAGGCAAACTCTGCCCACAGCCTGGAGTTCAATCCTGACGGGGGTCAAGGCTGACTCAGCCTTCCATCCTTCTGAGGACCCAGATTGTTGGGGGCAATAGGCTGACTGTAAACCGCTTAGAGAGGGCTGTAAAGCACTGTGAAGCGGCATGTAAGTCTAAGTGCTATTGCTAAGTGCGAAGGAAGGAAGGAAGGAAGGAAGGAAGGAAGGAAGGAAGGAAGGAAGGAAGGAAGGAAGGAAGGAAGGAAGGAAGGAAGGAAGGGAGCCATGGTGGCACAGTGGTTAGAAAGCAGTATTGCAGGCAAACTCTGCCCACAGCCTGGAGTTCAATCCTGACGGGGCTCAAGGTTGACTCAGCCTTCCATCCTTCTCAGATCGATAAAATGAGGACCCAGATTGTTGGGGGCAACAGGCAAATAATGCTTACACTGTAAACGGTGACTGTTTCAAGTTACAGCAGCACCAGACAAAATGACTGATGTCTGTTTTTCACACTTATGACCGTTGCAGCATCCCCCCATGTTCATGTGATCATAATTTGGAAGCTTGGCAACCGGCTCATATTTATAACAGTTGTAGCATCCCGGGGGTCATGTGACCTTGTGAAATTGACAAGCAAACTCAATGGCAAGAAAGGTTATAAAATGGGGCAAAAGTCAATTAACTCCTATCTCACTTATCGACAGAAAGTTTAGTCAATTATGGTCATATATACAGGTATATATTACCTCCCCTTATGTTTGTTAAAAAAAATCTCTTATCAGTTATATTATATAAATTCCTGCCTCTACTGCAACAATAGATAATAATAATAATAATAATAATAATAATAATAATAATAATAATAAACACCATTGGCATTGACAAATTCGCTATTAGTCAATTGCAAAAGGCGGCCTTATTAGGAACTGCTTCCATCCTGCGACGATACCTGTAATACCATCAAACATCCACATCTGCCTATCCCAGGTCCTGGTAAGGACTCGATAGGTAGACAAAATGCCAAATCCAGTCTGAACATCTGGCTGACTGTGCGATGATCAATAATAATAATAATAATAATAATAATAATAATAATAATAATAATAATAGTAATAAAGTTGGAAGGTACTTTGGAGGTCATCTAGTCCAACCCTCTGCTCAGGCAGGAGACCCTATACCATTTCAGACAAATGGCTGCCCAGTCTCGTCTTAAAAACTTCCAGTGTTGGAGCATCCACAACTTCTGGAGGCAGGTTGTTCCACTGATTAATTGTTCTCACTGTCAGGAAATTTCTCCTTAGTTCTAGGTTGCTTCTCTCTTTGGTTACTTTCTGTTGTTACCATTGCATTTGGAATCAGCACCAACAACCTTGAACAGCTACCCAAGTGCTATGAAAAGCCTTGCTGATAAGTGTCCCACTGAGAAAACATCTCTACTGCAGCCTTTCCTTGCACTCACAGACACACAAACATACATGCCACATTCTGAGATTAGGGGCAAGGGAAACACAACATGCAATTAATTACAAATTCACCGCTGGAAGATTGGAGTGGATAATGCTTCTAAAGGATTGGATTTCTAGACAATAGTTTTGCCGACAAATCGACTTGGCTTTGTGTGTTTTCAGCAATGAATACAAGACGTATTTAAAAAAACAAAAACGTTCATTTCTTGAGACCAAAGGCAGCCTTTTCACATTTGAAAAGATCCTATTAAGTACAAAAGGTGTTTTGGGCTGGATTGCACAGCCTGACTAACAACAAACAGAACGCTCATCTATTCAGAGAAATTGCAAATATATAAATTGGGAGAGGGAGGGGAACTCAATCGTCTAATCAGTTTGTCCTCTGACACAGGAGTCCCCAACCTTGGTCATTTTATGACTTGTGGACTTCAACTCCCAGAATTCCTCAGCCAGCATGGCTGGCTGAGGAATTCTGGGAGTTGAAAGTCCACAAGTCATAAAGTGGCTAAGGTCAGGTACCCCTGCTCTAACAGCTCCTTTAGTAATTTACCTGCAGGTACAGTATTAATGAGCCAGCCTTCCTCACCTGCATCCTCCAGATATTTCAAGCCACACCTTCCCACCTGGAAATGCTGGAAGTCATAATCTCACACCTCTGGAGCCCAAAATACTCGGTGGGATTCACGTGGTGTCACTTAAACCATTTTCTCAACAAATATCAGAACTTTGTAAGTCCATTTCCAGTCTTGATTTTTGTTAACAAAATTCTGATTCTTGTGATTTGTGGGGAAAGATATTTAGATCTAACATACCTTGACAAGTCCACAGTAGAGAAAGGAAGGATAACTGGGATGAGAGGATTACAGGTAGTCCTCGACTTACAACAGTTTGTTTACTGACCATTCGAAGTTACAACGGCACTGGAAAAAGTGACCTATAACCTTTTTTCACTCTTACGACCCTTGAAGCATCCCCAAGCCAGCTCTGTTACAACACACAAACACACTCATTCCCTCCCCCTGTGGTTTCTGAGACCATTCCCCCAGTGATTTGAGGGGCTGCCACAAAGCCTATTCTTTAACCAGTCTGGATACTTCATGAACTTGGGGTGCCTTGATAGCAGTCTTCCAATATCTCAGGGGTTGCCACAAAGAAGAGGGAGTCAATCTACCCTCCAAAGCACTTGAGAGAAGGACAAGAAGCAAGGGATGGAAACTAATCAAGGAGAGAAGCAACCTGAAACTAAGGAGAAATTTACTGACAGTGAGAACAATTAACCAGTGGAACAACTTGCCTCCAGAAGTTGTGAAAGCTCCAACACTGGAAGTTTTTAAGAGACTGGATAACTATTTGTCTGGATAACTATTGTCTGAAATGGTATAGGATTACTTGCCTAAGCAGGGGGTTGGACTAGATCAGGGGTCTGCAACCTTAAACACTCAAAGAGCCACTTGGACCTGTTTCCCAGAGAAAAGAAAACACTGGGAGCCACAAAAGTTATGCGCGCACACGCGCAGGCACACAAGAGGTGGGGACCTTGATGAGAGAGAGAGGGGGGGAAGAGCAGGGAAGCGCAAGTGCCTCTCTCTGTCTCTTGTCTCTCTCTGCAAATGGCAGAGGAGGCTGGGAGCTGCAGGAGAAGGCTCAAAGAGTCACATGCGGCTCCGGAGCCGTGGGTTGCTGACCCGTGGACTAGATGACCTGCAAGGTCCCTTCCAACTCTGTTATTGTTATTTTGTTATCCAAAAGACCAAGAAGCAACATATGCTTAGCTGCTCTCAGAAACCAAGGGCTGGGCTGGATAGACTTTAGACCTGATCCAGCAAGATAACTTTAAGGTTCTCATGTACATTTCTGGAACACAATTAGAGAATGCCCAGGGCCACCTGACGCCACAACAATTCTATTTCTGAAAGACAATATGTCCAGCTTCTCCCCTACTCTCCCCCACACGTCCCACCTAAATAGGGAATGTAAAGCGGAAAGGGCTACCGACAATCAGCTCCCATTCACTTCAAGAGATCCGTGCAGGAAAATTTCCCCAAGGATTGCAGATCTTTTTCTATGCCAGTGATGGCGAACCTTTTAGAGACCGAGTGCCCAAACTGCAACCCAAAACCCACTTATTTATCGCTGGGTGCCAGGTGGGCGTGGCCCATTGGGTGGGCGTGGCTGTGGTGGTCATGACAGACTGGGTGGGTGTGGCCAATGTGGGCGTGGTCACCTCAATGTTACTCATGGGGAGGGATGCCTGTGGGGGCCGGGCAGGGTTGGGGGAGATCCAGGGGGTCTCTGGCAGGTGGGGCGGTGGGTAGGAGGCTCATCCTGCGGGATAAGGTGAGGCAAGGTGAGGCAGGGTGGCGGTGCCATTGCCACAGGGCAAGGTGAGGCAGGGGCCGGGGCGGCTGCTGCCTGACACCATTGGCCCCCGCACACAGAGGCCAGCGAGCGCATGGGTGCTGAGATGCATCTGGCCATGTGGGACCTCGGCAAGTTAGCGGGCGGCTGGTTGAAGAGGGAGGGTTGCCATCTCCGGGGCATGGCACGTGTGAGAGGGCTTTGAGTGCTGCCTCTGGCACGCGTGCCATAGGTTTGCCACCACTGCCCTATGCTAACAAACTCAAGAAATGATAACAATAGACGAGACAAGTGCCAGCGCCAAAGCATCATGGACTGCAAACTAGGCCAAGGTATGGAAACATAACAGAAAGTGCAACACCTTTGATGAATGTTGAAACAGAAGAGTTTCCTCTCTCCGCCCCCTCCAGCTGCCTGGTTACTGGGAAGATGAAGTACTTTGATTGTGGAAGCTGACAGTTCTTTGTTAAAACTCCATTTCTCAAGATACAACATATTAGATAACTGCAAGCATCAGGTGCTTTGGCATTAAATGAATGTGTTAAACCCAAACGCATTTCCATACAAATGCAGTTTATTAAACCTCCCCTCTGCATTCCTCAAGCTGCCGCATAAACTGAGTTGGGAATCTTACTTACTGTCTGTTATACTTGGCTATTTCATTAAATAGGAGTTTCCATCGTGGCCGTCCAATAAAAAGCCGGCGGTTCAGCACTTTATATTTCTTGCCAATTATTTTCTGCAAAAAAAAAAAAAAAAAAAACGACACACAAAAAAAGCCAAGACATTCCCGTGGGTGCACTTTGCAGATTGCTGCCGATCAATCAACCTCCACTTTACAATGTCAGTCTAAGAATCATCTGGACAACTCAAAGCATTGATGCTCAGTTAAATTCATCTATTAATATGTTTCTGTGCATGCATGCATGCGTGTGCATCTGGGTATGTGAACATTCTCCTGCATCAAATACACAGCTTCCTCAGGTACCTGTTGAGACTTTGGTGCCCTGGCAAACCCATTATAGGATCTGCTTTCCCCATTTCGTGGCAGAGATAAATAGGTTGAGCTCACATCACATGTGTTCATGTAGCACAGTGGTTCTCAACCTGTGGGTCGGGACCCCATTTGGGGTCGAACGACCATTTCACAGGAGTCGCCAAACAATGCAGTCCGCCATTTTTTTCCCCTTTTCCTTAGCTGTGCTACTCCCTTTTATTCTATTGGCTTTTGAAAGCCAATAGAATAGACTCTCTTGAATAGAGTCTAATTCTATTGGCTTTCAAAAGCCAATAGGAATTGTCCAGGCTGTCTCTGCCCTGCTGAGCCCGCCAAAAGTCCCATTCTGCAAGCAATGCTGCACCAGTTGAGTAGTCCTCGACTTACGACCGGTCGAGTAGTCCTCGACTTACGACCGGTTGGGGGTCGCGGCATTAAAAAGGTTGAGAACCACTGATGTAGCATATATTTCTGCAAGAAATAAATAATATTATGTCTTAATGCTATCACCTGTTTCAGATAACTTGCTAGAATTTCATAACATATTAGATTCAGCTAAAATGGGGTTGGGGGGTCCTATATTACACTGGACTACAAATAACTGGACTCTCCTAGGTCTAATCTAGTGTCTTGCAGAAAACAGACCTTATTCCAAAAAGCTTAGAGTATTTAGACCAGTGGCTCCCAGCCTTTCTGGCTCTACAGACTGGCAACAGTGGTGGGGTAGTGGTGGTTTCGCACACACTTGCATCTCTTTCACAAATACAGCTCCGCGCACTCACCCGCTGCTTGTGTGGCCCGGTTCCCAAAGGGGCTGTGGATCGGTACCGGGCCAAAGACCGAGGTTGAATATACCTGGTCTAGACAACTAGGCATTGTGGGTAAACTACATCAGTGTTTTTCAAACTTGGCAACTTTAAAGTGTATGGACCTTAACAACCAGAATCCACAGATTGCACAATTAAGACCACTAATCTTAAAAGCTGCCAGTTTGGAAAAACACTGATCTAAATGAAGAATTCTTCAATTGTTAGTGTTGTTCTTTGCCAATGCTTCCAGATATTGACAAGATATTCTAGAACAGGAGGTTTCTAAGTTTTTCCGGCTACAGAACCTGTTTCTATTTTTTTTAAAATAAATAAATCCCAGAACTTCTTTTCAAGAAGCAAAGCTCAAGTAATAGAAAATTGGCAGTTTAATTTTTCATAGGAGTCTTGGATTTTGTGGAACACATTTTGAAAAATCCTCTTCTGAAGGGCAGCTATCCACACCACTTGTCACTGGCTATCTACCTATTGCTGCCTTCTTTAAGTTTAGTCTGACAATCAGGATGACCAGCATCTAAGGCAGGGCACTGAAGATATAATTAAAAAGCAATTTTTTTTTTCTTCCTAGCATTTTCCCACAAATGTAGGGTCCCCTTTTTTCAGATCAAAGTGTTGATCCATTGTTTGCAACAGGAATTTAGCCTGACATTGTCATCCAGATGGTTTTCATGCGTAAGGCAGGACTAGAACTCACAGTCTCCTGGTGATTGTCTCAAAGTCACCAACTGGCTACTATGCCTAAGGCGGGACTAGAATTTACAGTCTCCTGGTGATTGGCTCAAAGTCACTAACTAGCTACTATGCCTAAGGCGGGACCAGAACTCACAGTCTCCTGATGATTGGCTCAAAGTCATCCAAATGGCTTTCATGCCTAAGGCGGGACTAGAACTCAACATTTCCTGGTTTAGATTAAACCTCTAAAGCAGTGGTTCTCAACCTGTGGGTCGGGACCCCATTTGGGGTCGAATGACCATTTCACGGGGGTCGCCAAACAATGCAGTCCGCCATTTTTCCCCCTTTCCTTAGCTGTGCTACTCCCTTTCATTCTATTGGCTTTTGAAAGCCAATAGAATAGACTCTCTTGAATAGAGTCTAATTCTATTGGCTTTCAAAAGCCAATAGGAATTGTCCAGGCTGTCTCTGCCCTGCTGAACCCGCCAAAAGTCCCATTCTGCAAACGGTGCTGCAACAGTTGAGTAGTCCTCGACTTATGATCGGTTGAGTAGTCCTCGACTTATGACCGGTTGGGAGTCGCGGCATTAAAAAGGTTGAGAACCACTGCTCTTAACTAAGCAGGTTCTCTTAGGTGTAATAAGAGCATACTTAGTTTAAAACAAAAGCAAAAACAATCACTCTGTTGAAAATCATCATTTTGTTGCTGAAGTGGTCCAAATGAAGCCACAGACCACCATTCCTGGACTAATGTATCATGTCACCTACATATTTTCCATCAACGATAGAATACTCATTGCTTCAATTCCATTTCTCAGGCTCCCAGCAACAGCGGAGAACCCATGGTACTTAAGGCAACCTTTTGACCTTTATTAGATGTGTCTTTTCAAGTATTCTTTGACTTAACAGTTCAGCTGCCCACTGTATTTTACTACATACCTGTATCCCATCTGTTTGACTGAGGTACAGCTGAATATTGATAAAATCTGGTCGGTTTTCTTGCCAGAGCTTATGCATAGTAGAAAAAGGAAAAAAACAACTCATTAGCATATTTTTGTATTTGTGGAAACAAAGCATTTTTATCATCAAACTCACTCTCTAGAAAGAGCTAGAGGGCAGCACCAGAGGGAAGGACAAGAAACAATGGTTGGAAACTGACCAAAGAAACAACCTGGAATTAAGGAGAAATTTCCTGACAGTGAGGACAATTAACCATTGGAACAGCTTTGCCTTCAGAAGTTGTGGGTGCTTCATCCCTGGAGATTTTTAAGAAAAGGCTGGACAAGCTACCTGTCTGAAATGGCATAGGGTCTCCTGCTTGAGGTTGGACTAGAAGACCTACAAGATCCCTTCCAGCTCTATGCTGGAATATATATGAAAAGTTAGGATCCTCTGGATCTATGTCATGGAGAATGCTTTTTCTAGCCGTTTTCTCAATGGAAATCTAACTATTTAGCTAAATATCTGAATTCTCTTCTAAACTGGCAACATCCACAGTATAATCTCTGCCAAATATCTGCTTCCTGATAACTACAAAATTGGCCATAGATATAATCTGAAAGCATTTTTAAGTTTCCTCTCCAGGATCTTGCTCCAAACCTAGCACGGAAATAAATCAATTCTACTGTATTATTCAATCAACCTCAGAAATCATGGGCACTCCATCACTGGAGATTTTTAAGAAGAGACTGGACATTCACCTATCTGGAATGGTATAGGTTCTCCTGCTTGAGCAGGGGGCTGGACTAGAAGACCTCCAAGGTCCCTTCCAGCTCCTATTCTATTCTATTCTATTCTATTCTATTCTATTCTATTCTATTCTATTCTATCATGTTTCAGTGGCATATCTTGACAGCAAATATGTACATTTAAAATCTTGGATCTGTTTTTTTTTTCTTAGCTAAGGAATTTGGCTCTCCATTGTGATGAGATTGGGGGAAGGAGGAGATGTTGATCTCCATCCACTCCTACTCTGCCCAAGTTGAGCCATTGGCAAGTATCCAAAAGGAGCCAAGAATCAAGAACCAAATGCCCAAGGCAACACTAAAAGGATTGAACCAGGAATCATAGCTAAAAAGAACATAGCTACACAACAGAACCAGGAACACATTGCTCAAAAAAAACCAAAAAAACCCCCCAGCCTTGGTCTCTCATCTAACAGTTAGAGCCCATCCTGAACAGGTCAGAAGCTACCTTTTAAGAGTTCCAAGATACTGGGTTGATTTGTCCATGGAGTCCAAAATATCAACTGAGATCCCATTGCATTTTTTATTAGAATAATTAAAATCCTAATAACTGCATCAATGCTTGGTGGAGTTAGGGCTCAACTTTAGTTAGATTTGGATTGGGTTGGGGAGGCTGAGTACGCTATGGAGACACAGCCTATTTGGTTCAGAGTATAAGCAGACATCACCCTGCCAATAAAAGTGCGTATAGTCAAGGTCATGGTTTTCCCAGTTGCAATGTATGGCTGTGAAAGTTGGACCATAAGAAAGGCTGAGCGCCAAAGAAATGAGGCCTTTGAACTATGGTGCTGGAGAAGACTCCTGTGAATCCTCTGGACTGCAAGGTGATCAAACCAGTCAGTCCTAGAGGAGATCAACCCCAACTGCTCTTTAGAAGGCCAGATCCTGAAGTTGAAACTCAAATACTTTGGCCACCTAATGAGAAGGAAGGACTCACTGGAGAAGAGCCTAATACTGGGAAAGATGGAGGGCAATAGAAGAAGGGGACGATAGAGAATGAGGTGGCTGGATGGAGTCACTGAAGCAGTAGGCGTGAGCTTAAATGGACTCCAGAAGATGGTAGAGGACAGGAAGACCTGGAGGAACGTTGTCCATGGGGTTGCAATGGGTTGGACACGACTTCACAACTAACAACAACAAATTGTGCAAAGGAAACATGCCAATTCAAAGAGATGGTTAACTGAGCCTAATCCATCTCTAATATCTGACCACCAGTCCCAAGACAATTGGCAATTATTTTTCATGACACTACGGGGAGCTTAGGAGTTGCTTCCTCCTTACCTTGTTGTGCAATTTGCAGAGCAGATCCGCAAACCAGTGGAAGGACAAGATGTCTCTGCACACCCAAATGAAGTAAAGCCTTCTGAGTTTGTAGCGTTTCCAGTCATCCCTTCACATACGGACCATGTTTTGGGGGGAGAGGCAATAAGAAATCACTAGTTAAAAATGAAGGAGCACTTTAATAGCAATAGCACTTAGACTTATATACTGCCCATGGTACTTTAGAGCAGAGGTCCCCAACCTTTTGGGCACCAGGGACCGGTTCTGTGGAGAGGTTTTTCCATGGTTTTGTGTGCTGCCTGCATCCCACGGATGGAGTTTTGCTTGTTTGTGTGGACTGGTTGCTGGTATGCCGTGGCCTGGTACTGGTCCAGGGACCGAGGGCTGGGGACCCCTGCTTTAGAGCACTCTCTGGGCAGTTTACAATGTCTGCCTATTGCCCCCAACAATCTGAGTCCTCATTTTATTAGCCTCAGAAGGATGGAAGGCTGAATCAACCTTGAGCCAATGAGGATCAAACTGTTGGGCAATAGGCAGAGTTTGCCTGCAATACTCCATTCTGGCCACTGTGCCTCCAAGGCTCTTTAAAATTTCTTTGGAGACATTGCTTTGAGAAGATGTAGCTGGTACACCAGGCAACAATGAGATGGCTAGTGAGACAGCACCACCAGTCTATTTTAAAGTTGCTGCATTGTTGCCACTAAGTTTTGGGCCCAAATCAAATTCTTGGTTGTCACTTTTAAAGTTCTACGGAGTACAGCACCAGGCAGTGGTGGCCAGAACTGAATCTGCTATCCAGCCTAGGCATCTATAAAGAATTTGCTTAGATTCCATGAGACCTTCTCAGAAATATCTTCTACTTTGTGGAATTCCTTCTTCTAGAGCAAGGGTGCCAAACTGCCGCCCCGCGGGTCGGACATGTCACGAGGAAACCGCGCCCACCCCATTGCTGGCAATGGTGAAAAAGTTCCAATATGTCACGCAACATCACATGACGTCGCGAGTTTGACATGTCTGTTCTAGAGGTAGATGTAGCTCCCACCTCGCTCACATCTCTGAAGTGGTGCCTTCAGCTTGAGCTGTCTTGGGGGTGTTACAATAGTTTGTATCTTTTTCTTACATTTTTTTGCATTAACTTTAATTTTTATTGTTCACTGCCCAGATTATTTTGGGCTTCATGCTGGCCAGAAATGCAATTAATAAATATACATGAATACTTCAGGTTTATTACAAGAATAGCTCTTGGAGATTGCAGCAATTCAATCAAATGATATAAAGCTTAAATAAAATCATTTTGCTACCCATCTGTACATTTCCATCCATATATTTGCAACCCCAATTTGGCATGCAAACTAGTAGGGTAGGAGAAACTGCTGGCAATAGAGTTTACTTCCAAGAAAACTGCAAGGTAAAATTGTTTGGTGAACCATTTATACTCCGTTCACCCCTCTCTTTTCTTTCTTTTTATTCTCCCAGTCCACCCAGTGGAAACTCAAGTTTTCAAGTCATTCAGAGAGGAAGGCTGGAGTTTACTGCAAATGCCCCTGCTTGATGGGGTCATGCCAACTGGAGCTCCCAGGCACCAGGATTTTAAATTTCTGCACAGATTTAAGATCCCCGATGTGTAAATGTTGCTGAATAAAAATCATGTTGCTGTTTTTAATATTCCAGAAGGAATCTCATTATTGCAAAATGTATTTGGTAGAAGATCTTGGGGTGACATGGGGGCAACTTTTAAGGCAATGAAGCTTACATACAGCAGGGTATTGAAGACAGCTGCAAATGGAGTCACACCAATGCCTCCAGCTATGCACAGGCTGACTTCATAATTGAAAGATTCTTCAAAAGGGCTCCCAAAGGGACCATCGACATGCAGCCTAGAGGAGAAAAGAGGAACATTTTTAAGAATCAATTAACACAGTTCTTTATCCACCTGTCTGAGACGATATAGGTTCTCCTGCTCGAGCAGGGGGCTGGACTAGAAGATCTCCAAGATCCCTTCCAGCTCTATTCTATTCTATTCTATTCTACACACACACACATATACATCTATAAATATATACACACACACACTATATGTATGTATGTATGTATGTATGTATGTATGTATGTATGTATATGTATGTAGGTCTTTGGTTATTCGGGTTTTCTCCCACGTAAAATTGGAAGTGTCTTGGCGACGTTTCGACGAAGTCTCATTCGTCATCTTCAGGCTGGTGCTTTCGGCTTCATGCTTCTAGGAGCAATGTTCTAGGAGCACATTGCTCCTAGAAGCACGAAGCCGAAAGCACCAGCCTGAAGATGACGAATGAGACTTCGTCGAAACGTCGCCAAGACACTTCCAATTTTACGTGGGAGAAAACCCGAATAACCAAAGACCTACATACAAACACACGCGAAAACCTCAGAAAACATATATATGTATATGTATATGTATGTATATGTATATGTACATACATACATACATACATACATACATATATATGGCTGGCTGAGGAATTCTGGGAGCTGAAGTCCACCAGTCTTAAAGTTGCCAAGTTTGGAGACCCCTGGTCTAGACCAACTAACACCCTTCTTTCCAATAGGTTGGAAGTCTCTAATGAGAGGCCATTAAAACTTGGAATCCAGGGGCTTCAGACCACAAGAATGAAGAACATCCTACTGAATCCGTCCAATGCCAACTTCTGTTTCTCATAGTAGCTAGCCAGGCATCTTTTGTGGCTCATTAGCCGATGTGGCTGTTTATTTCCCCATTACTTTCACCTGCCATTGTTATCTGGAAGTGTGGTCTCTCTGACCTAGAAAGTGTGGGAAGTCAGCCCCCCCAGAGAAGAAAATATTAAAAAAGCAGAAAAATATATTTCCTCAAAGGATCTTAAAGAGGCAGAAAAGCATGCCCAGTTTTCTTAATAGCCCCAAGTCTCCCTCCCCCAAGCAGAAACCAGCTCTGTACAAATGCAGATGTAAATAATCCAGGAAGGCTGGAGGCCCCCAGCTAGAAGATTAAGAAGAGAAAGACACCTAAAATCCACATAGCCCACCCAAAGTCTAAGACAGGACATAATAGGATTAACTCACAGATGCCAAAGGGCAAACCCAGACTCAGGTCAGAATACATGACACAGGAAGTACAAAGCCTCAAACAGGAACAGGAAACAACTCCAAACAAAAGGCTCCAGAGGGTATAAAAACCCACTCCCTACATGTGCTCTCTCTCTTTTCTTCCAGACTCATCTTTCTATCTGCCTCTCCTCTTCAATAAACCGCAACCTTCTTTCTAAAGCAGTCGCCATGTAGTTTATCCCTGGCTTGGACTGAACCATGAAGAAGACTTTTCCTTCAACAAAAGAATATGTCCTTTCAAGGAATATAACCTTTCTTGCTATTGTCCTCTGTGAATTTATCCAATCCAGTTTTCAGAAATGGTTGCTTGATGAGGTTGAAAACCCTTTGCCAAGTGAAATTATTTAAGACTCCTGCCTGGAAACCAGAATGTGAAAGGGCCCCAAGCATGGATTTCAACATCTTGCCATTGTCTTGCATTTAACAATGCTTAGATATTCATGGAATTTCAAAAGAGCTTTATTGTAGGAGGTTGTCATGGCTGAGAAAACCAAGGCCACAGCCTCCTTTGTCTCAGAATACAGACATTTAAAATGGCGACAAGGGGATTAGAACTGTTACTTCAGCCAAGTTGTTCAAATAAGAGGCTTTTTTTAAAAAAGAAAAAAAAAGAAAAACACTGTAAAAGAGCCTTGAGGGCTGTTAATTATACAAGTGTAAAAACTCCAGACAAAGAGCTAGGCTCCGTTAACTACTGCGGGGTGAAAAGAAACAAAAAAGGAAAGCCTTGTGAAACAAAATAAAACTTTCCAAGGTGATAACTTCTTTCAGGGACTTATAAGTTAGTCCTTGCTTAAAAAAACCATTTGCTTAATGATTGTTCAAAGTTACAGCAGCCTTTGGAAAAGGTGTTTCATGGCCTGTGAAGCACTTCCAACTGTCACAAAATGTCATAATATTCCCTTGGGCAGTCATCACGCGATTGCAATCTGGGTGTTTGGCAACCAAGTCACACTTTACAACCAATGGCTAAGTGCTCTGTGCGACCAGATTGCCAAGCACCCAGACCAGGGGTAGGCAACCTTGGCTCTTTTATGACTCGTGGACTTCAACTCCCAAAATTCCTGAGCCAGCCATGCTGGCTCAGGAATTCTGGGAGTTGAAGTCCACGAGTCATGAAGGGGCCATAGTTCCCCCATGCTGGCTCAGGAATTCTGGGAATTGAAGTCCACAAGTCATAAAACAGCCAAGTTGCCTACCCCTGACCCAGACTGCAATCACAGGACTGCCCAGGGAAAATACAGGTATTCTCAACTTACAACAATTCATTTTGTGACTGTTCGAAGTTACAACGGCACTGAAAAAAGTGACTGATGACCGTTTTTCACACTTACGACTGTTGCAGCATCCCCACAGTCACGTGATCAAAATCCAGATGCTTGGAAAGTGATTCGTATTTATGACGGTTGCCGTATCCTGAGGCCATATGACAAACAGAGTCAATGGGGAATCCAGATTCACAACAACCGGGTTACTAACTTAATAAATGCAATGATTCACTTAACAACTGTGGGAAGAAAAAATCATAAAATGGGGCAAGCTCACTGAACAAATATTTCACTTAGCAACATAAATTTGGAGCTCAGTTGTGGTCATAGCTCGAGGACATGTGTGCATATGTATCAAAATAATGCGCAAAATTCCACTACATTAAGGACAATTATTTCAGAAAACATATACATTTTACACTGGAAAATAGGTGCATGTTTAGAAACAAGTGGAATGAGTATATATTATTGTCTATTTTTTTTTTAAAAAAAAGAGAAATCTGAAGTTTGATGAGTCAAACATGGCATATTTGCCAAAGGAGAAGCTGAGAGAAACCAGTAACTAACATATGGATTATCCCATTATTATAATCCAAACCTGACATTCACTCATCCTTATCAAAGGTTACAATAATCTTCCCAATCAACTTATAGACTTTCCTTCCTTATTGATAGTTATCAATCTACTCTATCAGTCATGTCTCCTCTGAAGGCTCCATGCTATGAAAGGCAGAAATGAACTACCATGAGCATCCTGGTGATACATTGGCCACTATGGAAGACAAGAAGCTGGATAGGTAGCCTTTAATCTAATTCACCGGGGCTATCTTACATTCCTCAGAAATCCAATTAGTTTCCTGTGTTTTTTTCTTATCACCGAGATTTTACTGAATGTCAGTGAGGTGTCCTTTTCTATGCCCAGCTCTAGTTGCACAGCAGTCTCATTGACTGTGAAAACCTTTTCCTCTGAGCATCGTTTTCAAGGAAATAGACTAGTGCCAGTGATGGCGAACCTTTTAGAGACCGAGTGTCCAAACTGCAACCCAAAACCCACTTATGTATCGTTGAGTGCCGGGTGGGTGTGGCCACTGGGTGGGCGTGGCTGCGGTGGTAACGGCAGACTGGGTGGGACTAAAAAGTTCAATCAATCAATTCCAACTTTGCGAGATCTTTTTTTTCATGCGAGAAGTTGAAATTGATTAAGTGAAACTTTTTTTTTTTTTTGCACATGACAGCAGAGGCCTAAAGCGAAAAGGTTTTATAAAACCCAGCTGAAGGCGTAGGACTGGGGTGAGGGCGCGCATGCCCATAGAAAGGGTTCTGCATGCCACCTGTGGCACGCATGCCATAGGTTTGCCACCACGGGACTAGTCTAAAGCAGAGATCCCCAAACCTTTGGGCACCAGGGACCAGTTCCGTGCAGAAAGTTTTTTTTCCGCAGACCGGAGGGTGTGTGGTTTTGTGTGCTGCCTGTATCTTGTGGATGGGGCTTTGCTTGTTTGTGTGGACCAGATGCTGGTGTGCCACGGCCTGGTACTGATCCACGGACTGGGGGTTGGAGACCCCTGGTCTAAAGGATGTTTTATGTTACACCCTTTCCTTCTTTTGGGGTTATAAACCTTACTTCTTTGGATGTTTGTTAGTATGGTATTAATGTTTTAGTAAAAAGTCCAGGATATATAACCCAATGGGATTAAATTGCTTGATGTTGAAACTGAAAGAAATATATTTTACAGCTGTGTTTTTAAATCTTGGCAGCTTTAAGACGTGTGGACTTCAACTCCCAGAATTCCCCAGCCAGCAAGGGTTCACAGGTCTTAAAGCAAGGCTGGCTGGGGAATTCTGGGAGTTGAAGCCCACATGTCTTAATGTCTCTAAGTTTGAGAAACATTGTTAGTTATAGTGCGATTTTGTTTAATCAATATGCATGAGGGCAAAGCTTCTCTGCAGACAAATTACTTTTAACAAACAGAACAATTTTTTCTCTTTTGGAGCATGGCATTCATAACCTCTAGAAAAAAAATCTGGCCTTTTTGTAAATGATTTTCCTTATTTTAATTTTGGGAAGAATGAATGTAATGTGTTGTGTTTTGCGGCTCACCTCTGTTTTTTTAACTTGGTCTTTTCATCAATAATGAATGGCTTGTTCTTACTTCATAATTGTGGAATTTTTAAAATAGAACTACCAACTGCTTTGGATTTGATTGTCACTGATGTATGCAGTTGAGGTGTGCAACAATGAAGATCAAACAGTTCAATCAATTAATAATTTAACTTGTATCCAGCCTTTTCTTTTAACAGAATAATAAAGTTGGAAGGGATCTTGGAGGTCATCTAGCCCAACCCCCTGTTCAAGCAGGAGACCCTATACCATTTCAGACAAATGGCTGTCCAGTCTCTTCTTAAAAACTTCCAGTGTTGGAGCAGCCAAAACTTCTGGAGGCAGGTTGTTTCACTGATTAATTGTTCTCACTGTCAGGAAATTT